TACGGCACAGCGGGGTGTTCCAGCGTTATTGGCACCCCCCGGGCGGGGAGCACCAGAACACCCATTACACACACCATTGGCAGTCCCCACAGGATCCAGTCCCGCGGGCACGTCACACAATATATGCCTCACCCCCCCCCCCCCTTATCCTTTCCCCTGCTCGGGAGGCAGGTAAAGGGTCGGGTAAGAGGGCGGGCAGCTCTACTTCCTGTTTCGCTCGACCGACGGTTGGTTGGGTTCGGTTTGGGCCCCAGACGCGTACATATAGTATACGCGTTTTGTGTTCGAGTTGCCGTGGCTCGCCTCCTCACGGCCCCCGGCCGCCTCGGCCCAGTCCGTCTCTCAAAAGAGCAGGGAAAAAGACTGACGAACTGACGGCGTAGTCCGTCTTCGGGTCGGAAACGGAGGGCGGTGTACCTCGATGACGGCGGGAAGAAAGGGAGGCAACAGACGGCAGAGGTCGAGCGACACTGTTGGAAAAGCGGCAGGAGCTCACGATGAACAAAACATCACAACGCAGTCTCACCTCACCACACGAAAACATCCAGCGTTACGAGGAAAATACGTGCGTGTTCGTGTTCATAAACATGTTGGCCGCGACGCTTAAAAGGGGCCCTTTTGCATCCGGAGCTCGGCGGTGGCGGCCGGCCCCGGCCCCTGCCAGCCTGCCTGGCTGATCCGATGTGGGTTAGCGTTAGCATTTCTCCAAACGGTCTACTTTTGCGCGGCCGCCACGCGTCGGCGGGGCGCGGAGGGCGTAAGTGACGTGCACCAGTTAGCACGGCGGAGAGCGGCGGGGCGGCGCGGAGCAGCGCGAGGACCCAAGTGAGCGTGCGCGGGCGGGCCGCCGGTGATTGGCCATAGGGTACACCTTGCCGAGTTGTTGGCGGGTCAGGTCCGACGATGTCACACGATGCAGTATAAATTTTGTACGCACCATACTCCTATGATTGTATTCAATTATATTTTCTTTGCATCAGTTCGCGCCCTTTCAGTGCGGCATGACCACTATGTGGCCAAGCTCTCATGTTTAAAAATTATAAGGCCGCACCAAAGATCTTATAAGTGTGTACCGCGTGCCTTTCCTGATAAATTATTTGATTTTGATAATTTCAGCAAACAAGAGTATGCACACTCTGTTTCGCAGACGAATATTGCACATACTTTTCTGAGCCGTGTATGCCGCGTAATAGTTTTGGCATTTCGAACTAAATATACTAACATGCACGAGGATATGCCGACGGGAGGCTGGCACCCTGTGCAAGTATCGGTACCCGCGCTGGCACCGCTCCAAACCAAACCCCTTCAGCTGGATCAAAACATTTAACAGTGTGT